TCTTTTTTATGATGATGTTGAGATGATTTTTTTATAATGATGAATTGATGATGATTTTGCTCCCTTAATCCAAACCCCTTTAATCCAAAACAATTGATTCCAAAGCCTCTAATCCAAATGCTTGTAGATTAGTGTATAGTTTGATTTTGCTATTTTGTTATTTTGTTTTGAAGCTGCTAACCGTTTGCTTTGTATATATAGTTATATTTTCTCTTCTATCCTCACACGGTTTTGAAAATTCATACTAATGCTTTATGGAGCTTCATTTAAGTGGTATTTTCTTTTACCCCGCTTTTATTATCATAACTTGGATAACTCGGTGAAATCTTTCTTATTTCTCAATTTTCTCTTTTTTCTTTCATTGTTTGCTTAGATTAGGATTAGTTTTGGAAGAGTTGAACGGTTCGAGGATGTTTGCTTTGTAACACCATAGGCTATTTGGGGTCATTGACGATGTCGTCGAATGACCACTTGTATGTTGATTGGGATTTACATGATAATCATGCATCTTTGTACTTTTCTTTATATTTTCCTCTTATTCTCCTTTTCTTATCTTTTCTCCTTTTCTTTTTCTTTTCCTCTTTTCAAAAAGAAAAAATACTAAAATGATTTTGAGGCTTTATATTTGTTTTATTTTAATGTTTTTCTTATGATTTTAACATAATACAATCCGACCTTTTACTTTTGAATGAATCACTAGGTGAAAAAAGGAAATTGGCACCGGTTCAAAACCCCTCAATGCCACCGGTTTGAACCGGTGCCAATGTGGGGGTGCCATTTAGTGGATGAAAAAGGCACCGGTTCAAACCGGTGGCAAAAATCAAAAATGGCACCGGTTAACCGGTGCCATAAAAGCCCACAAAAAATTAGTTCAAAGTTTTTGGCACCGATTAACCGGTGCCAAAAAAGGCCAAAAAATCAATTTTTTTTTTCACTAAAAAATTATATTGACTAAAAACCTAAAATAAAGAAGAACAACAAAATATAAATCAACTATCATTCAATATAATCGAAAATTTACAATATATAATAAAAAAAATTACAATATAGATCTATAAATTGATCAATTACAACATATAAATAAAAAAAATTACAAAATAAATCAAAAAAAAAAATTACAACATCACAATAAAAAAAACCCCATAGAACATCTAAATCAATATTCTTGATTCTTGATTCTTCGATTATGTGCACTATTTTGGGCTTGCAAAGCAATAGTATACCTGCGCCAATTAAAACATCCAAAATGAATCGATTAAACAGAATTAGCTGCGAAATAAATTAAAAAAAACAGAAAATAAAAAATCGAATCGAATTAAAATTGATTAAAAGACAAAATAATCGATTAAAATAAAAACAAAATTGAAAATCAGTTAAAAACCCAGAAAAAAAAATTTGAATTTAAATCGATTAAACTAACAAAAAAACCGATTGAAATAAGTATAAAATCCCATAAAATAAAAAAAAATTAACAATTAAAATATGTTAAAACATCGATTAAAACAAACCATATAATTGAAAATCAGTTAAAACCCAGAAAATAAAAAAAAACTAATTAAAATCGATTAAAATAAAAAACAAATCGCTTAAAGTCAAAAAATCGAATTAAAATCGATTAAAATAAAAAAATAATCGAATTAAAATCGATTAATATAAAAAAAATCGATTAAACTAAAATAAAAAATCAATTAAACCCTATCTTGCTCATGCATGCGTTCTTGGTGGATTATATCAAAAAATATTGGAAGAAACCCAGAAAAATCAATTAACATAAAGCCCTGAAAATTAATTAACCAGAAAGTATTTCGAAAAAACCCAGAAACATCAATTAAACCTAAAATTTCGTAAATCAATTAAACGCAAAACATTTAGAAAATCAATTAACCCCAGAAAAAACCTATAAAAATCCATAAGACCCAAAATTCGAACCATATTACAACAATAAAACCCAAAAAAACAAGGTATTTAACACTAACCTCAAATAATCAAACCCAAAAATTAGTGAAAAGGATAACGAGAGAAAGAGGAGATGAAATATTGAAAGAGAAAGAGAAATGAATTGATAGATCAGAGAAACGGAACGAGAGGTAGAGGAGATGAGAATGAAAAATCAGAAAAAGAGGGATGAGAAAGAGAATAAGAAGCGGCGAGAAAGGGTTTGGTGGAGAATGAAATAGGGTTTGAGTGGAGAGCATTTTTTTTTAAAAAAAAAAGGCTCGGCACGGGTTCAAACTGGTGGGCTTTATGTTTTTGCCACCAGTTTGAATTGAACCGGTGCCTTTTTCCCTGGTTCATAAACCCGCCAATTTTTTAGCCCATTTTTGCCACCGGTTTGGACTGAACCGGTGGCAATTAAGGGGTGCCTTTTTTTCTACTAGTGAATTGTTTCCTATGTGATATCGGTGTGCACGGTTTGAGAGTATGTTTGATTGATTTTAGGATAGAGTATGCTAAGGTAGTGTAGATTCTATTTCTTTATTTTGGGTTTACATTTTCCTACTTGCTAACAATTTAACCCATAAACCATCTTTTAAAGCCTTATTATTAGATTTTGAGCCTTTTGTTTCATTCTTGTTTCATTCTTGGTTTTTATGAAGAAATTGATCATTATTGTTGGATATTGTGGTGGATGAGTTTGAATATCGGTTCTTATAATATATGCAAGTTTATTTTGTTTACTTTTTGTGAAATAGGCAGATACCATGTTGAAAAAGTCGTCCATAGTTAAAAGAGGCGAGAACAATGCAATAAAGTGAAATATAGAGAAATGAAATAATGAGAAAAAGCAAAGCAAATTAAAATGCTTTGGCAAAAGTGAAAAAAATGTTAATAAAATGAAAACCTCCAAAAATATTTTGATATAAATTTCTCTCTATTTTGAGCATTGAGGACAATGCTTCATATTAGCTTGGAGGGAAGCGTTCTTACGCTTTTTAAACTAGTTGTTGGTCAGCGCGCTATGCGAGTGGTCCCCCAATTTGGGGATTTATACTTGGTGATTTAATGTGTAATTATTCGATGCTTGTGTAGTTTATTTTTAATGTTTTATTTGTAATGAAATTAGCTATAGTTGTTAGCATTGATTAAAGTTGAAATCTGATGGAATAGATTGTGCTGCAAAGGAATTAATGTAATATATGGGTATGTTGATTAAAATCAATGAAATGTACAAAATTATACCGGCGTGAGCCTGCAGGGGGGTGATTAGAGGATTGGTAAACTGGGTGTTGCGATCACTGTGATTGGAGGATTGGCAAATTGGGTGTTGTGATGGGTGGTGCGATAAAGGGGATTAGCGGATTGACAAATTGGGTGGTGCAATCAAGGCGATTGGAGGATTGACAAACTAGGGGGTGCAATCAAGGCGATTAAAGGATTAACAGATTGGATGGTGCGATCAAGGTGATTAGAGGATTGGCAAAATGGAGTGTGCGATAAAGGCGATAGGAGGGTTGAAAAACTGAGTGGTGTGATCAAAGCGATAGGAGGATTGACAAACTGGGTGGTGCGATTAAGGCGATTGGAAGATTGGTAAAAGGGAAGTTGCTTGCATTAGTTTAACGTAAGATATATACCAACCCCTTACTCAAATTAAATTGAACATAGACAAGTAAGAGTTAGACTCCTAATTTAATTAAGGATAAGTGTTTTTTATATAATACAAATACTTATTGAGATTAGTGTATAAATTAAAATTTGAAAGTTAAAAGTAAGAGAGGGAGGTCTGAAGGAGGATGGAGATAGAGATAAATTGGGAGATATAGAGGGATCAGTTTTTTCTTTCTTTTCCCCTAACCCCACCCCTCCCCCCTTCTCAATATAGCACAATATATCTTTGTTAAAAGTGTTTATACATAATTCATGTTGACTACGAAATAATCAATAATTTTATCATAATTATAAGTCTCGGTTGTTAAACAGTTATCTAAAGTTTATAGTTAAGTTCTACTTGCATATGTACCTTATTCATTTGGTTTAATGTTTATAAAAAAAATTATCTATCTCAATCTTATTATATATTACAGGTTCTACTCCTTGTCCCTCTGTATTTCTCTCTCTTCCTCCTCCTCCTCCTCCTCCTCCTCCTCCTCTCTCTCTCTCTCTCTCTCTCTCTCTCTCTAGCTCTCATAAAAAGCATTTATGTATAAATCTAGCATGATTCTACCATAAATTATTATTATTGTTGTTGTCTTCTAACCCCACCTTACCTCAATTTCACTTGATTCATTGTTTTCCTTCTCCTTTAGCTTCTCCCCCATGTTCTAAGGTTTTACAAATTTCAAAAATTGTTTTTCAGTTTGATTTTTCCCTTCTCCTCATTAAGTACTTTTGTTACTCGTCTTTTACAATTTGCATATTTCATAAAAAATTTCAATGTTAGATTTCCTTTTGCTTTTTTTTTCATATACTACAAAATGCATGTTTCTTAGACGCTTTTTAGGCCTTTTTTCGACGCTAAAAAGCGTTGCAAAAATATTTATCGACGCTGCTAAAAAGCGTCGAGAATACGTGAGTGGAGAATTTTGAGGGACACAAAAAAACGTCGAAAATATCGACGCTTTTATGTGTCCTAACTAATATACCAAGTGTCGGAAAATACTTATTTTGAGCATTATCCTAATTTTGTGTAATTTTTTAGCGAAACTTTTACATGTCCACATCCTTTAATTTAGCGACGCTTTTTGTTGTCTTGCATTTATTCATGTCAGCCTATGGTGCCGTGTGGCGGGAAACTCTTGAAATATGAAAATGTACAGTATGTATACATTAAAAAGCGTCTAGAATTTTTTTTAAAGCTTTTTTTTTCCTTTTATTAAATTATTACCATTATACATACATTATAGTTATTTAAATTTATCATAAATAAGAGTATGTAGTTAATTACCAAATTTATAAAAAAAAAAATTAATCAACAATAATAAGAGTACGTAGTGAATAACCAAATTTATAAAAGAAAACATCAACACAATATATATATATATATATATATATATATATATTAGAAAATAAAAGTAAAATAAAATAAAAAAAAACGTCGCATTTTATAGTAGCTTGTCCCTAAATAAATTCATCACTAATATAAGACTAAAAACCAAAATAGATAGATAGAAAATGGCCTTATATATAGTCTCTTGTTTTGATGCTCAAGTGTTCCGGCCTATTCTCTTGTAAACATTGCCTTTTCCAATCTTAAAAAACAAAAAAAAAAAAAAAAAAAGTATAAATTAGTACATTACATAATATAGGCTCAAGATTCAACATTCTGTATTCAAACAACTAAAAGACCAATGTATTTAAACCAGAACATACATTGCTGAGAAAGCTCTGAATTTCACACACACACACACAAGCATTTTGAATTTCACATCTGATTTCAATCTAATTTTCAGTTCTGATTTTCAGTTCTTAATTCAGTTCTGGATTTCAGCTCTGAATTCAGTTCTGGATTTCAGCTCTGATTTCAAATCTGATTTTTAGTTCTGAAATTCAGTTCTAGATCCAGCATAGCAACAAAACTAGACAAGTAGACAACAATAGATGCAATGGATTAGTACATTAGAATATTGAGAAGACGGAGAGAAATAAAATATGGATTAATATAACACTTGCATATAGTGTCGTTTGTATAAATTGTCTACAGGCCCCTTAATACCAAAGCAATGGTGTAGAACTAAAAACAAAGTGTATTGTAATAATTAATGTAATAGTAACAATCACTATCTACATTATGCATAAATGAATCATAAAGTTGATTACATTAAACATGGTAAAATGTTTGACTTACAGATATGGATATCCATATAACATAAGGAAGTTAAATGCAAAAATATCAAGAATCCATACTCCATGCTCAAAAGGTCAAAAGTCATATTGATTAATTATATCCTACATTCTTATGAACAAAGAATGTGACTGCCGAGAGCTCCATTCAAGGTACGATATTGGAGATTAAAGTTTCAAAAATCAAAGCTTATGAATATAAGAAATCAAAGCTGATGAATATAAGAAATCAATAAGCGGCAAGACATGAAGATATCAAGTGTAAGACAATGATCTACCGTGTAATGCCGATTCTAAATAAATAGTTAATAGCTGCTCTTAAACTCAATGGATTCACAAATAGCTAGTGTTCCAACCTCAAATTTGAGCTAACAGAGTGGAATTTTAAATTAAGATCATACATAAACAAAAAAACTCAATCATGGATATTGATACTATGATATAAAACCTAAGAATGAATATTTCATAATAAAAGCAACAGCTATTGAGGCTAAATGTCACCTAAGCCAAATTTGATACACATAATAAGTACTCATCTTTATTAGAATAAATCACCTTAAGTGTAGAGAGACTAAAGATAATTCATTTACAAGAATAAGTAACATCTTTCATGGAGTAAGACTGTAAGACGCCACCCCTTACTAAAAGGAAAGCGTTTAGGCTTGGGAAAATTAGTCATATCTCACACCCCACCTAGTCACGTACTCTTTTTCCCATCTACCACAACCACAAATAATTAAGAATCACACCAATAAAATACAAGAAATTATCAAATAATGAGCATACATCAGACGCTACAATAAACAATACTTGCTCAACCAGTGCACCAAATAAATTCAAGGCATAATATTTGTCGAATTTTCTTACTTAAGCATCCACTGACCTCTTTTGTCGAGTTATTAATACTCCATAATTACCTATTAAGTTTAATAAGCTATGTAGCAAAAGCAAAACCATTACACTAATTTAATTAATTTTAAAAAATAGCTTTATGCATATGTATAAAGTTCCCAAAATATAGTCCCTCTTAGCCCAATTGCCAATGAAATAACTTTTGAAGATTTAAGAGCCCTTCATAACATCTCTACCAAAGTTGCAATATGGTTTTAGGACCAGTTTATATTCATGTACTGTCTTCCTGATTGGAATTTGGAACATTTCACTCTGATTGGAATTTGGAACATATTATAAAAGCAAAAGCATGAAATGAGAGTCCAATTTTAGAAAACAATACAATCATCCAGAGACATACCCATAAAGGTTATAAATTAGTCCAACTTGGAATGAAAGTCAAGTTCCTGCATTCAACAAATGTCAGCAAAATAATCTATAATCTGATTAAATATACAACCTAATCCATAATCTTCAATTTAGGTATCATTTTTCACTTTGTACCAAAGCCTTAATAACAAAATAATTCCTATATTCAATGAAAAAAAATCTTTTTGATGAGACATCAATATTAAAAGAATATATAATTCATATCAAAGTAATCTAATTTACCAATGTACACTAGAAGAACAAGTATAGCACATATACGCCAGGAACAAATTCCTACCCTTCCACACTGCCCACCGCACAACTTACTAGTAACCTTTCTCACTCTCTCTTAATTAATTACATTCAATGATTTTTAAAATGCAATTAATTTCCTTGTTTTATTGATTTTCTAAACACAGATAAGCGCCACTATAGACCCCCCTAGTATTCAATTACATCGAACTCCAAAAAATCCAAACCCAAGTTATGCAATTTCTGAACTCATACCAAAAAATTGCAGAACAGAATCCCAATTAACAAATTAACACGATACAAGATTAATTAAAGAGATCGAAATCGTCCTTCATTCATACAAAGAATAAAAGAGGGCTAATTATTTGGAATTTTATTCAAATGGTAGAACAAAAAGAAACCCTAAAATATCTATCGCTCATGAATCAAACCCATTTATGACCAGAATTTCGTGACATTACTTCTAAACACAGTCTAAAGAACTCAATTTAACAAAACAAAATTCAAGCCATAGAAGAAACAAGGTACCTGAATATTATCGACAAAGATCGAAAGAGATGAAATTGAATGCCATTAAAGGCGAATAGAGATATTCAGCAAGCATATGAGCAGTGCAAGGATAACCAAGATCTGATTATGACATTCATGACGCTCTAAACCTCAATGCGAATTTAGGATGAAGTAGAGTCGTAGAGAGAATGAATTGTAAGGGTTGAGAACAGAGAATTGAAATGGGTTTCGTGTTTGCTTTAGGCGGTTTTAATATTCTCAAATTAAATCTGAGATAGTGAACTGAGATAATTACAGTCACATGACTGGCACAGGCTAGCAATCTAGCATTCTCGACGCTTTTTGGCGTCAAAACTTTATATCGACCTAAAAAAGCGTCAAGAAAACACGCATATGGTATTTACCCACTAACACTGTTACCTCAGCGTCGAGGCTTAAGCGTCGAGATTTTACTCATTTTGTAGTAATGATAATATAAATCATACACTATTGATGTTCTTTTATAAAAATGATCAATATGCTTAAAAAAAATCATTATCTTATGTTCAAAATTAATTAAAAGTGGTCATAACATTTTTTTTTCCTTTTTAGTACTCTTTATCCTAGTTTTAAGATTTGTTAATATTACAAAGTAATTCGCACTAAGGGCATGTTCTGATTTACTAAAATGAACTGAATTGAAATGATTGGATCTGAACTAAACTAAGCTAAGTTGAAATGAATTGTTTATGAGAGAAGGAAATTATGAACTGGACTGAACTGAAATTAAGCTAAAGAGAATATGCCCTTACTCTCCTCCAAATCTCTCCTTTTATCACTTATTTCAATAAATCCATCTCCTTCTCCCATAGTTTTGAAATTCTACAAACTGTTTCATATTCTATACAAAAATGTACTATTTAATATTGCAAGATATCTTCAAAAAATGCTTTTGATACTTATTGCGAGGTAATCAATCAGTTGATGACGATGCTATGTAAATACTAATCTTTAAGGCTCTTCGTTAATTGTAACATGAGTAGTTAGTTTTTTTTGTTTTTTTTTTTTGAAACTCAATACTGGTTGATGAGCTGTATATGTATTTTTACGGGAGTAGTTAGTTGAAACTTAAAACTGGTTGATAGGCTATATATGAGTAGTTAATTTTATCTTAATGTTCAACGAATAAGAAAAAAGATTAATTTTGTAATAATTTACATATGTAGTATTTTCTTAAAATAAGAATTTATTGAAAAATAGAAAAACTAATGAAAAATTTAAAATTATGTAAGTTTTTTAAATTATTGATGGCACATGTTATTTCGAAAATTTCCTCAGTTTTTCAAATTGTAATCTACAAATTTTTTTCTACTCATACAATCTGACCACCAACTCTATCAGTCTCCAAATAAATATCCCACTTTCTGCCATCGACACCCCGTGGTTGCTAAATTAAATCGGTAGAAGAATGAATCTGTGTAAAAAAACCTGAAAAATTGCAAAGACGCAATTAATTTTTAAGAACCACAATAAAAATTACGAAACACCTTAAGAATGACTTAAGATATATTTTAACAACCACTAAGTTATCACTGAATAATTAAGATATGGTGTTAGATTTTACTACAGTTGGATATACAAAATTGATTGTCCTTATTTATTTCCATAAAGAAGGAAGACATTGTTGTTCAAAAATCCAAAAATGAAAGCAAGTTTCGGAAAGAAGCATCCATACACATAAACAATATTAAAAAAAAAAACAAAAAAACAAAAAAAAAAACAAATAACACAAAAACAAAACAAAACTATTCAAAGCCTGGTTATATGATCACCAAAAACAAAAGTTAGCCTTTTGACTCTTACATAGACTTAGATCCACCTATAAACATTTTCAAGCAGACAAGCACTTGATCTTGAGACCTTAGACAACAACCCTGTATATTTGTCCATCTTACGACATTGCGTGTGCTGTTAGAGCAACAATTGGAATATGAACACTTGTTCCTGATTCCTATCTTCGATTCTCTTTTGTTGCTTTATAGCCAACCCATCTGTGTCATCTGCAGTCACAAGACAGTGTATTGTTGGGAAATCAGGAACTTATTAACTATTTTGAATACATTGGATAATCAGTATAATTTAATGCACTGTATTACCTGATTGTCCATCGGATTTAAGTCAAATGGAGGGAAGTTCCGGCTTAAAGTTGAAGTTATACTTGCTGCTCTTTCTGGCAAGCTAGGGAGATGTGCAGCACCTTTGGCATTTAAAGAGGATTTGAGATTGTTTACTGCCTGTAATCCTTATTCGACAGCCATCAGTCCGACTCTTATTTTTCCTAGCATTATGGTAGCCAAGTCACTCCCTGATGATAATCTTCTGCAAGGAGGATCTTAATTCCTTCTAAGGATTTCTTGTGTTCACTCGTTTCTTACAAAATGCACATCCTTCCTTTCTTCAAAACTTTTGCTAATCTTCTGTTGTCGTTAAATTAAATCTCTCAAACCCATATGACCCATACGACCTTAGAAATATCACCCCCCCTCCCTCTCTCTCAGATTAAGTATTACCCTTTCCCTCTCTCAGATTAAGTATGACCCCCTCCTTCTCTCCATCCCCCCTTCCCCTCCATCTAAATTTACCTCTCTCCCCCTTACCCCTTTATATCTCTTGATTTCTCTATATTTCCCTCTTTTTTCCAAACCTCTCTTTCTTTCTTTTTCCTCCGACCCATCTTTCTCTTTCTTTCTCTCTATCGGCCATACTTTTTCTTTATTGCTCTATATCTTTCTCTTCCGCCTCTTATATATATATCTCTTTCCCCCTAGCCCTTTTTCACCCAGCCCCTCTTACTCTATTTCTTTCTCTCTTCCTAAGAATTAAGTAAAGATATAGATTTTGGGAAAAACTAACTGTGTTCAAAGACCTAGACTGGTTCACCAAAAAAAAAGGACAAAGACTAAATGCCCTTTCTTTTGTTCTACAATGTTCATAAAGAGTCATGAACGCAAATGGATATGGTTTCCACAATTTATTTTAAACAAAAATCCATCAAACACACTAATAACAAGAAAAAGAAACTCAATTTCATTCAATTTAATTATTTGTCCTACATATTCACTCACAATACACCCTAAATTAACAGAAAAAATTGAAATTAACAAAAATCTTATTCTAAAAATGGGAAAAAGCTACAACCAACATATTCAATAACAATCAATAAACAAGCAATTTAACAAAAACAACAGCGTAATATTCAACTGTCATCTCGACATGCTTAAAGGCAAAAGGTTCAAGTGTAAAGATGTCGAAGACGAGAAATTTTAAGATTATTCAAAACATATACACGTAATAAAAAGTAATAACTATACACAAATGAATCAAGATATATGATAGCTCAGCATTTGTTTTTTGTTAAAACTGGAAAATGAGAAAACTTTTGAGTGAAGAAAAGAAGCTCTTTCATAGATATGCTTCTAACGCACCATTTGCACTTAGAGAACGCATCATGTACAATCTACTCAGTAGCAACAATCCCAATAAACAAATCTACTCCGAATGAAAAATTGATGAGATCATACTGCATTCTTGTGATATAGTGAGTTAAGCTTCAGACTGGCTTCGTAATTCTGGAATGTGATGCACTTCTACTCCAACTGAGAAGAAAATTTCAACAAACGCCAAGGAAAAGGGGTTCATCGCTGACCAACCTTGGCATTTTCAGGAACCACGATCACATTCAAGATCTTACCAAGAACGATGATCTTCTTTTTGATGGTTTTCCCATCAATGTACTTTTGACAGCTTTTCATCTTCAGTACATGTTTTCCCATTAACTAGAGATATTTTTTACACCTCCAAGTCAGCAAACCATGTTAATAGATTCTTCAGGGACAAGCTTCCCGTCTATTTGGTTTGTAAATGCATAAGTGACCTGCATTACCACAAACAGCTACCATATTGTAAAACTTACAGTCATGTTGTTACGTTACTCTAACCGATATTCCTTGAACATGCATGTCTAGCAACACTTTTGGACTTTTAACATTATTAAAGAACTCATTAAGGATAGTCTTAAAGTTTTTGGCCTTCAATACAACTATTCTTTGCAAAATCAGTTAAGCAAAGACGGGAAAAGCATAGTTAAAATAAGATTCAAAAAAAGTCACAAGAGAAATTTTTAATTAGCAGTTAAATCCATTTTATTACAGTTTTTCAACTTGTAAACGATTTTACAGGGTGACGAAACTTCATAAGCTATTTGGAAATAGTTTAAAAAATTAACTAACCTAATCACTAGCTGCAGCTTGAAATAGAATATCAGGAACTGAAGTGGGAGATAAATGATGAGCCCAGTTAAGTAGATCCTCTTCAGAGACCCCACCTAAAAACAAGCCCTAACAAAATATTTAAGCAATCAAGACTAAAGAAACGCAAATTCTTTAGAAATTTATGAAAAACTACCTGTTTCTGAGAATTTTTAGAATATGCAATCCAGAAATTTCTGCAAACCCACCAATATCATTAGTATTTTGGCTAGATTGGTAACCTTCACAGTTTGATTCAATACAATCGACCTCCACTCTGTTCTCAAGCATGCCATTTTTGTATGGTATTAGTTAAATCACTAATTCTACATCGAACACAATCCATCTTTTCATGAAATACCTGTAAAAAGCACACAACACTTAAACTGATGCCAAAATATTGTGCAGCAAGTCAATATGGACTTAAGGCATCAGGGTTAAATAATACTAAACAAGCTTAAAATTCAAAATTGAACATTTGTGATTTAGCACAATCTATTAAACTACTTCCGAAATGGAATTTAGAAGGAACTTCAGGTATTGTTAAGTGAAATTCAGACGAGAACACATCTAATTTTTTAATCACCCAATTGCTTCACATGCTCACCGCATTTGTAAATTGTCTTCCAAAAAAAAAAAACCTACCTCCATTTCTTATTATTTGCTACTTTAGAAGGTTGCACAGGCTACAAGGTAAAATCTGGTTGCAAGTGTCAAATGGAGAGAGAAAGAGATGCTTTTGATGAGGAGAGAGATAGAGAATGACTAATTGAAAAGGAAAGAAAACATTTGTTTCAACTTACAATAATATGAAACATCCATTTTTGGCAAATGTTGTAAACAATATGAAACGTAGAACATTATATACCTTCGTTCACATTGTAGGTAAACAGATCGCATAGATCTTCCATTGAAAAGGTGTTCCCCTAAATTAAGGTGGGGGGGGGGGGGACTGTGATCTCGCCATTGGAACAAATGCAAAATGCAATCAAATGAGTTTATTCTACTAAATTACCCTATCACAACCACCTTGTTCCTTTTGAATAACTTTATGAAGCTCTTCTTTTGATATCTGACGCTGGTACACCTTTGCACATGATTTAAGATTCAAAAAGTGATCTCAATAATTCAAGTTATAGTTATGATTATATACAGTTGTGAGGACTAAACAGTCCTTTTATGACAAAACAGGGAGGAATAAACAAAAATGCCATTGGGAATAATGCCATAAATCAACAGTCATCCAAAGGCACATTCATGCATATTAAAAACTTGAAAGTTGAAACTTGAAACTAATCAAGTCCCTGAATTTCTTAAAAGTCATAGAGTAACATGAGAGATGTGTCAAACAAAACCTTCTCTTCAATGGTTCCAGAGCTCAGAAATATGTAAACATGGACTCTCTTCTTTTGTCCATCCCTCCAAACTCTTGCAGCAGCCTACAAGCAAACATATACATAACTAGCGCTGACACAATGCTCCAGTCTAGACCCAATAGATCTGAAAGAGAAAACAGAAATACATCTGCCAATATGACATAAATTACTTGTTTATCATTGGTAGGGTTCCAGTCAGGATCAAACAAGACCAATGGATTTCCTCCGATCAAGTTCAGCCCACAACCACCAGCCTTACTACTTCAGAGAAAAGCAAATTCATCCTGCAATGCACTTGAACAAATGAGGGTTCTTCACAAAAAAACTTTTTATGTACTTTTTTATGGAAAAAATAGTGACCTTTGAAAAATCATTAAAACAGTTGACCAGCTTATGCCGTTTGCTGATCGACGTTCCATCAAGCCTGGAATAAGGGTATCTTCTCTCACGACATAATTGAGAAAAGAGATCAAGGGTCTGAAATCACATTAGATAATCAGTTAAATATAAATACAGATATGAAGCAAAAGACAGCAGTAGAGTACATTTGCAAGGGGAAAGGGGCTTCCAGGAAAGAGGATAGAAAGATATAATTAGCAGTAAGTCCACCTTTATAGGAGGTTTATAAAGGATAATCGTACTAAGTTGGAATTCCACACTAAACAAGCATGGTCTCAATCAAGTTTCTTTCAATTTCCCCCCCAAATCCCAGAACCTAAAATTAGAAAGAAAAGGGTATAAATTCTCCAAATTGGAAACCAACATGTTGACAGGTCATCTATTTAAGCAAAGAAACCCATGGATAGAAACAGAAACAGATAGCCGAATGTTATTCCCAAAATCACCAAAATGATGTACGCATCAGCATACCAATGAAAATCCAAACATACCTCGGTTAGCTGGTCCTGCTAGGAAACTCAGGTCCATATCATATGCTACAAACAGAGTCCTTGAATCCTCAACTTTGACAAGAGGTGTTACAACGCAATTTCTGAACAACTGAATCCTCAGAAGCTTCATCCTCACCAACAATCACATGCAATAACGGTAAGCTTGGCCCTGGATGATCCATCACCATAGCTGCTAAAACGATAGCAGAAGCTTAAACTGACTTTACTGACACAATTGAACTGAGAAATTGATATTCACTAACATTATAAATAAAAAAAAAACATTACCACAGCTTATCTGATGACATTTGGCCCACTGGCACCTGGCAAGGGGTGCTCATTGCTGGGTAGCTGCTGCTGTTCCGACGCGGCTGAGATTCTATATTAAAATATGCAAACAACTTGTAAATTTAATAAAATAAATATCAAAAATCAAAATTCTGTTAACTTCTATAAAAGCTAAAACCCTGTAAAATTTATTAAAGCATCAAGGAGTTATTGCGAGGAGATGAGGTGAAATGGTGAGGCGAGGCAACCGAGGAGATGAAGGTGACATATATTAAGACTATTAAGACCACAGAAAGATTGAAACTCCAACCTTTACTATTTTTCTATTTTATAAAAACCCAAAATAAAAGTTTTAACTTTCAAATAGGAAAACACAATTTCACATCAAAAAAAAAAAAAAAATCAAAAACAACCATCAATCATTCTAATTGCTCTTACAACCAATATTGTTAAATAGTGAAGCAAACATAATTTAATTTCAACCATCAATCATTCTAATTGCTCTTACATCCAAAAAGAGGGGGCATAAGCAATACATTGCTCTTACATCCATTAACTTGCTCATGAATCAATTAACTATCAATATTCAACCTCCCTTCCAAATTAAGCATCAACATATAAGATAAGAAAACATTATGTGGAAATTTTTCACATTGAGCTATAATCCAACAAAATCTAGATTCAATGTGCGTATACTTTGTTGCACTTGAATATTCAATTCCAAGTTGCCCTTGAATATTTGCATAATTTGTTCAAAATTTCTGAATTGAATCAACTGTTCAATTCAAATTTCCTGAATTAACTGAGAATGCTTGTTGCACTTGAATATTGCATATACTACTACTTTTATGTACTTCAACAAAATTGGAGAAAACCCATAACAACTAAATTTTACACTATCACATACACTAACAATCACCTAAATAACAATATTACGACAATTAAAAACTAAAATCGCATGCACACTTTTGCAGCATCAATCATAAATCTTATCATATAATTACAAATAATATCAGATAGCCCAAATAACAATAATTTCTATAACATTCAAAACCATAGTTTAGAAAACTATATTCCAATAATTAAGCATGCTACAGTGCTACACCGATCTCCACTCAAAAACACCCAACTATGACATTAATAACATCAAAACCAGCAATTAATAATTGAATAATCAAAATACAACAAAATCAACAGATACCTAGACCATAAATTATTTACACTAATCATAAATTAGTAGAAGTATTGAAAAAAAAGAGAGAGAGAACCAGGGAAATGGGCCATTCCTGATTGGAACTAGGTTGGAAAAAGCTGATATAAAAATTGATTCATAGTATAATTGATTAAGAATACCACCTCCACCACGAAACCTGGTAACAAAGGAGAAGTCATTAGATCATACCACACTAATTCAGCTTGTCAAGCATCATTTTTCACATAATTCCATTAGCTTAATTTGCATAACTTACTTCCCATAGCTCAATTCCCAAATCATGACCTTCTATTAAACCGAATTCCACCATAAATTATTCTGCATATTTTTAAAAAAATTTGAATTACAAATGGGGTTTTTGTTATTTTAGTTGGTAGTTTAATATTAAGAAAGGATTAGTCATAACTCGTACTTCAACTTCAAATGATTAAATGAAATCCACCTAAGAAGAACCCTAATAGATGGTGAAAATTATATAAAATTTTTGAAAAAAAGAAAAAAGAAAAAACATTATACGTCAGAGGAGTGAAAACTCAAAGTAGGCTTCAATGGAGAACTTAGAGTGCGCTTCAATGGAGGAGAGAGAAAGAGAAATTTGAGGATGCTTAGGAGAAGAGTGAGGAACTGAGGATGAGAGGAGCAAAACAGGAGATAGAAATAGGTAACCCAAAAAGACCAAAATAGCCCTGTCAATTTGGTCAATCAAGGAAGGGTGCTAAGGGCAGGAGAGGGCACAAAAGTCAATTTCCTGTTCATAAGGAACAGTAAATTGGAAATAGTCCTGGTGCTTGGGGCTTTTAGAAGGGTTATAGATTTATGATTGTTATTTTGGCTTTGAATAAGCTTGGGGGGTTGGTGTTTTTGTTTGGTGATTTCTTGATTATGATGTTGAGGATTGATCACCCTTTGCTTCATAATTTAGGTATACCATAAAATTTAAAATTTTAGCCTACCTTCACCCTTTTCGGCCTTACATTACGACCCTTTTCAAGACCTTTTGACCTTTTTGGTTAAGTCAAAAGTCGGTGGACGAAAAGATGTGAGTCAAGCCTATGGAGCAATATGCATAGTCAAGATGTTTCTTTTTCGGTTCCTTCGAAGAATCATTGATATGCTCACTAAAGGTGTGGATTTGAAGCTAGTTAGGAGAACGTGCTACGATTGTTGAGATGAAGGTGAACTGTGTTTCACTAGTTCTCTATGCTTAGCATATTTTATGTTTCTATCAATCTTGGATATCTTGGAACATGCATACCCTTATTGTATAGAAAGTTATTTATTTACTTGTATTTGATCATCTATAAAGCCCATTTCAAAGGCTTTTGGTTTTACTTTTTCCTTTTTGATTTTACTTTCATTTTAATTATTTGCCTCATTTTTGCCTATAAAAGTTATGGGTCAAACACTTTAGATACCCTTATGAGACCTCACTCGTCCTCATTGGAGACTTTGGGGTTTAAAGGGTTTGTTGTAGCTAAAGAAAACCATGATTCCTACGAATGTGAGTTTTAGTGTACATTCTTATCATTTTCTTCCTTTTTTGTTTAAATGAGTTTTTCATCCTATTCCTACTTGCTTTTGTTTTGCTCGATGACGAGAAAAAGTCTAGCGTGGGGGAATTTGATGAGTGTCATTTATGGAACTCATTTAGCCTCTTTTAGGATGATTTTAATCGCTTTTATAGTTTTTTTTATCTCTTTTTCTTTAGTTTTATCTTCTATTTCTCTAGTTTGTATTTTTCTTAGTTGTTTTCTCGTTTTCTAGTATTTCTTAGTTTATTTCCCCTTTTCTCTTTTATTTGATTTCAATAGAAAGGTGATGTCCAAGGATTTCCATGGCTCTTTCTCGAGATTTTTAAGGCTCAAGATGCAAGACGTTCTCTCACATTGAAGCTCAAGTGTTGAGGTGTGGAAGCTTCGAGTCTTCTTGGCCGCACTCTCAAGATGCGTGGATATCAAAAGTGGTGTTGAACCAACCGTGGGCCCTTTGTAAACTACCATCACCAATGTTTATCAAGTGGAGCGCACGGAGGAATCGATGGAAGCACGAGAGAGGCTATCCTGCTCCTAGGCGCAGCCGTGCAATAGGCTAGTACGGGAGAGTAGGCGCACAGCCATGATTCCCTGGTTCCATACCCATTCCTCCACGGCCGCACATTATGTGGAGAGGGCGCGCTTGTACGGGTTGTTTTTGAACATCTAACAAACTTCTCCTTTTTTTAGTATTACTATACATAGATTTTCTTCCTTTTTAAGAGAGAATAGTTGGAGAATTGTATTGGAAATAGAATACAATAGATTTTTAGAGAGAGAAGCTCAAGATTTTGGGAACCTTTTGTTTTTAGAATTTAGAGAGAAAAACTTGGTAATGGATGATTGCCACATTTTGATCTTCATTCTCTTCGATACCGATCAAAGTTAAGTAAAAATTTTAGTGTTTGATCTTTGATATATTGTTGAATTTCTAGTTAATTGTTTGATTTGATTGTTGAAATTTTAATTACAATTTTGATGAAGAAATTGATGATTTGTTTAGTTTTTCTTTTCAATTGAAAAATGTGTAATGAGTAGATACTTTTGTAAGGATATGGTGAAGAATATATGAATGATAAACTAATGCTAATTAGGATATTTTTCATGATTTGATATTGTTATTAAATTAGTTGATGATTTGTGCATGTGTTTAATTTGTTGAGGAGTAGCCAACTTTGATTATCAACCTAGATTGCATTGAAGTTTTCATTGATACGACACATTGATTTTGAAGTTACACTTATCGATTGAACTTGTCTTGTGATTTTCCTTTAATATCATTCGTTAAGATCACTAGTTTGACACTTAGGAAATAACTTTTCAAGTGGCTTTGATTGCAAATACTATTTTCCCTCGTATTATTCGATTGATCAACTTCCCATCCAATTATCATGTTTATTGTAAATGTATGTGGATGCTAATTGCCTAACATCTTGATATTGACTTCTATTCTTAGAAATTGTCGTGTTGATTTGCTTTTATTTTACAAACCTATTATTCAATCTTCGAAGTAACTTGACATAAGACCATAGTATATGCCTTCATTCCTTTGGATTCGACTCGGACTTACCCCTATACTAGTAGTAGGTTTGGTTATAATTTTTTTTTATTAAAGAAATTTTATAATAAAACGACCTAGAATCTACCTTCCGTCATTCACCAGGTCGCACGCGCCTACTGCGCCAAAGTGATTTTGATGTGCTGTAAGGGGCAGCACAACTAACTTTCATGCGCCGCGTGGTATTTTGGTAAGATTCGATTTAGTATTTTCACGAAATTCTAAATCTTCTGTGAGTGCATCAATGGAGGTTGCCCTAGGCGTCACGCATAACCTTGTGAGTTGTGCGCGCCACACCACCGCGACTCATTGAGATGCGCGCTGATTTTCTCGCGGTAACTTAACTTTTTAACCTAGGCGCCTTAAGTCCGTTCAAATTACGTTTTAACTTTGGGTTTAAGCCTAATTATTGATCGGACTTAGTTAATTGGACTTAGGTTCATTTCGTTTTAGGTCATGCTAGTTGTTTGGTGATTTTGTGACTTAATTAGTAGTCCATAAGCATTATTCATGTTGATGCAACACAAAGATGGTTTATTTATCATCATAGCACTTCCAGTCGGGACATGAGGTTTACAAAATTTCTGCCTGTGTTTCATGTTAATTTCTGTGTCTTTAAGCTTCGTAATAAGCCCCTATTTATAGGAATGGGTGAGTTTAGGTTTTTGAGCATTTTGTTACAACAGGTGGCGCGCGCATCTTAGTGGTTCGCGTGCGCCTGTTGCACGCAAGTGATTTGGATGCATTTCAGGGGGTAACATAACTAACTTTCATGCGTGCGGTCTTATGGTAAGATTCGATTTTGTATTTTCACGAAATTCTGACTCCTCCGTAACCGCATTAGTGGAGGCTGCATGCACACCATTGTGAATTGCGCACGCCATACCAGCGTGACTCGTTGAGATGCGCGTTGATTTTCCCGTGGCATCTTTAATTTTTAACCTAGGTACCCAAAAGTTCGTCAAAATTAGGTTTTAACTTCGGGTTTAAGCCTAATTATTGATCAAACTTAGTTAATTGGACATTGGTTTATTTCGTTTTGAGTCATGCTAGTTATATTTTATTTTGTGACTTTATCAGTAGTCCATAAGCATTCTTCACGTTTATCCAACACAAAGATGGTTTATTTATTGTCACAACACTTCTGGTCAAGTGATAAGGCGAAAAGTAGATGTCTAAACCTACATCATGGGATTCCCATGTTGGGTTCCAGAAAGTTTAACTTTTCGCGGAAACAAAACCTGACCCTAAGACCCGCTCACAATTAATATAACTAATAAGCATAATTAAAAAGATAAGGAGAAAGACAATATTACCCTTAGTGCTTTCTTTTCATCGTTAATTAGCTCTTACATCAAGTCCCTAAATCGCATGAACCTCCCTCGGAAATCCACCTGCAACAACGAACTATCCGACCCTCACTCGTACTTAAAGGTATTCTAACTTTATAGGAGATGCCTTATTGAGTTCAACTCAAGTGAAGTTCTCAAATCAAAAGGTTGGTATTTATAGAGAAATTCTTATTGGCATTCCTTTGTACCATCAATATGGGAGAGTTAGTAAAATTCCTATTTTTTATTTTATTTATAAATAAAAAATCAATAGAAGAAGCAATGTAATAATTAATCAACAAGTGTCAAGCAAAGAGGGGAGGGTAGATGAGGAACACAATGGGGGGGGGGGGACCAATATCTTACTCCCCAAGAACCGCTAAATCGCCTTAACATTCTCTTGGGTCCAACCAGCTAGTGCCAACTGATGCACCTGGCATTGCACGCCAAGGCTGCATTGTTGCCGCCTGCACCTTTGGCTAGGCCCACAGGCTGGTCGCTAGCAGGTCCGACTGTTGGGTAAGGCCTTGTGCGCCCCATTTCTAGCTTGGCCTAGCATGTCACTGGCTTGCTAGCGTTGTAAGCTTTCTAACACGCTGGCGCACGCTAGCGATGCTAGCATGCCACTATTAGCAATCCTAGAATGTGCGTGCTAGCTTGCTGTGCTACACACCAGCCACCATTTCTAGTGGCCTCTGCATGGTGTGGCGTGCATGCTAGCTACCATGCCAGCACTTCTGCCTCCAGTTCTCAGTTTTCTTGGAGCATTCCGATGTTAGGGGTATTTTGGTACTTGTTAATTAATTAATTTTTACCGTCTTGTTGTCTTATTAATTGGACTCGACTTGCAACGCTTGGTCTCGATGCTCCTAGATCGATATCCGACGTCTATGCTCATAATACTCGAGTGAATCGTTAATTCTTTTTTGATTAATTTGTCCTGATGGATTGTCTGTTTGCTAGGGTGTGATATGAAGGGTTCAATCAAGATTAAGCTGGAATATTAAATATACATTAATATTACTAATCGGAAGCGGCCTCTAACTAGGCATTCCGATCACTTAAACTCAATGAATAATTAGATTTCTAATAATTTCAAACCCTCTATCGGAATAATACACTTGTTCGATGGACTCAATTCCTATCAATACCATACTTGTCTTTTCTAACAAGTGTGCTTTTAGTGTATAACCTTTTTCCTATGTCAATTATGTCTGTT